TATGTCTGGGTATAGTTTTATTTTGGTTATGACTATTTGGAGTTCTATATGCTTCACTGATCCTGATGTCAGTTTCTGATCTCATGCTTGGGAAATTTTCAGCTATTACTTCTCTAAATATCCTCTTGACATCCTTTATGTTGTCTCCTTCTTTTTCATTAATCCCTATCATTCTTATGTTATTCTTCTTTGCATCGTCTTGCAGTTGTTGAATTGTTGTTTCCTGATTCCTTGTTATTTTCAAAAGATCTTTCCTTTCCTGTTCACTAGCTGCAATCCTGTCTTCAAGGTCTGAAATTCTATCTTCACTTTCATTAAGGCAGTTTTTACAACTTTCAGTGGAGTTTTTTATTTCCTGTATATCTTTGTGCATCTGCATTATGTATTCTGTTTGTTTCTTATATTGCTCGTCTAGGGATTCTATCTTTTTGTTTAGTTCCTCCAATTTTTTATCTGTGTTTTCTTTAGATATATTTAGAATCTCTTTCATTTCTTTTATCATTTCTTCTTTTATCTGGGAAATTATTTCGAGTTTGAATTTCTTTAAAGCTTCCTGGAGTTGATTGCCAACTTCAGTAGCTATTGTGTCTGATATGTGAGGTGGATGGGATATATTTTCTTCTAAATACATTCCTCCTAGGGTTTCCTGAGATGGGCTGGAGGTTTGAGGTTGTAATTTGGTCTTTCGTTTTGTCATTTTCCTATATTTCTGTGTTTCAAGTGTTATTTGAATGCTTCCTCAGGATCTGTTGAAAATCCCCTTCTATGTTTGCAGCTACTGAGACTCTGGCACCACGCTACCCCAAGCCATTGGGCCTGCAGAACCAATGGCCCTCCTCTGCTTGTTCAGAACTCCGCAGTTCCAGACAAGCTGGGCCTCAGGGACACTGTGCGCCCACCTGCCCCTTGGAAGCTCCACAGCTCTTCAATCGCAGCCGGATTAGGGTACTCACCACAGGCCGCAGTGCCTCAGGAGCCTGTGATCCCTCCCTGGTTGCAGAGATATCCACAGTCCTCCAGACAAAGGAAGGGGCTTCTGCAGGCACTCCAGATCCGCCCAGCTCCTCCTCTGCACACCGACGGCTAGGCGTGGCTGGGCTCGGGGGATAGTGTAGGCCCGCCCACCCATCGGGAGCTCAGCAGACCTCCAAGTGTAGCGAGGATGGGGAGGCGGATGCAGTGGCCTCTAACCCACTGCTCCACTTCACTGCACCCAGAAGCCTGGGGGGTCCGGAACAGTCTGAGATTTGGGCAGAGTGTGCTGGGCACTCACCACAGGCCGAGGTGCCTCAGGAACCTGCGATCCCTCCCTCGAACTCATTTTTTTTCATTCTCTAGTTTATCCAAAGATGCTGAGAGCCACCAGGCAGCAAGATTATATTTTCTACTTTGCAGAAAATATTCAAAATTTCATATGTGGAGTCCCTAAATCACTTACATTTCATAAGTGGTGAAGTAGGACAATCAAGTGAATTTATATTTTACATTAGTTTAAACAATTCACACCAGGGGTTATCAGTATGCCTCATGGTATCAGAAGGGTTGACCATGGTGCCATTTAGTCTCATTAAGTTAAATTTTTTAATTTATTCATTATTGTTATTACTGGTTTTTATACTAGGAATTGATCCTTGTCCTTGCAAATGCTAGGCAAGGGCTGTACCACTGAACCACACTCCAGCTCCATGATCTCATCAACTTAGCCAACTCCAGTGACTACTAGTCAGTAAAGAATTTCATCTTTATAACTCTGTTTCTCTAGAACCATTGTGAGTACCCAAATTTGTCTTAGTTACTTTTCTCATTGTGGAGACTAAATATACAAGACCTACAATTTAAAGGATGAATGATTAATTTTGGCACAAAGTTTATAGACATTTCAGGCCATAGTTGACTGTCTCTGAGGCAGGGTAGCATGACAGAGGAGCATTGTAAAACAGAAACAGTCCATGACATGGTTAGCCAGGCAGAAGGCAGGAAAGCAGCAAGCAACAGGAGCAGAAGTCTTCCTCTTTTATTACTCCCAAACTATCTGCCTTTTGGCTGTCACCTCCCATACCTATAGGTGTCATAAGTGGGGCCTTCCCATTATCCACACAGAGAGCTATGCATAAACAACAGTGGATTAATTTAATAATCACACACCCTTAATCCCAGTTTCGTACACCCTAATTCCAGCATTAGATGCCCTAGGTCCACCCACCTCTGAAAAGTCCCACCTATCAGCACTTTGGGAGGTATTGGGGAACATCTAGATACAAACTGAATCAATTTACATTGATCCAATAGGGAAATGATCACATGGGATGGATCTATGGAAAGGCAAAAGGCATTTTTGGGAAGGGATGGATCCAAATGCTCTGGTGACACATCTGACATCCTCCACTATTGACTAAGTAAATGAAGGTTAAACCTTAAGTTAGCTACAGCATTTCAAAGGGAAAGGTACTTATAAATGTTTAGGATTCAACTAGAGAAATAGTTGGATGTGTTTATAGTGCTATAATAGTTTGTTCTAAAAAGTAAACAGTGAGTACCATGGTGCTTTCCCTGGAAAGTGGTTCTTTCACAGAGTTGTTAGAGTGGCACTGAAATATGTTTATATGAAGAGAATCTGTGAAGAGCATTCATGGAGATGCTTCATTTATATAAACGTCTTAAAGGGTTGGACCTATTGTTGACCTTTCTTGTTGTTGTTGTTGTTGTAAGTACAAAATACTTCATAATACAGGACTTAAAAGTAAAAAGTATTTTAACTCATGGTTTCAGAGATTGCAGTCAGTTGGCCCCCCCCCCCAATGGAAGAAATAGCATAGTGGAAGAAAATGAAGAATGATAACTGCTACATGAGAACCAGGAAGCACAGAGCAAAATAGAGAGAAAAAGGGGGACGAAAATGTAATGTCCCTGATGTCACACTTCCATGACCCAACCAGACACACCAGCAGTGTGACTTACTAATATCCTAGGCATTTCTCATGCCAAATAAGGTATTAACCAAGAGTGTCACATGAATCTAGATATTTTTCCCTCTAACAATATTAACATAATAAAAGTTAGTACTTTAAAAAAGTTTATTTAAAGAGAAAAAAAGCAAAACAAAAAGGAATAGAATGCAGAATTTAAAAAAAACACTAAGAAATCACTAGCTGATAAATTACATACTGTTATCTTAGAAATAGTTGTTCAAGTTACAAAAATAAAGCATACAAAGTGGACATTCAAACAGTGAGACTACAAACAGTTCTGTTCAATGATCCACAAAAACTTAGTAATATAGTTATCTATCTTACACACTTGCAGATATATCCTTTAGAGCATGTTCTTTTCCTCTCTTTTTTATAATAGCAATTGCACATTTTGGGTTTTATTACTTCTACAGTTATTACTTTCCACACTAGAGACACAATGTGATATTTATAAATACGATTGTTATTTATTTCACTTATGAGGATAGTTTCAAGTTACCTCCATTTACCTATGAAGGCCACAAGATCATCCTTTTTTATAGCTGAGTAATAATCAATTGCATAAAAATACCACATCTTTTTCATCCAGTCTGCAGTAGTTGATGGCATTTTGTTTGTTTCCAAGATTTAGCTATCACAAATTTTGCTGCTATGAACATGGATGTACATATATCACTGTGACATAACCTTTTCAGTTTTTCTGGGAAAATACTCAGGAGGGGAATAGCTGGACTGAATGGAACTTCTAATGCTAGTCTTCTGAGAAATCCCCATAGTGATTTCCATTGTGGCTGCACCAGTCTACACTCCAACAAATAGTGGACCAGTGTTCCTTTTTCCCCACAGCCTCACCAACATTTGTATCAGTTGATTTCTTGATGGCAGCTATTCTCTCCGAAGTGAGATGAAATCTCAGTGCTGTTTTAATTTGCATTTCTCGAATGACCAGTGATGGTGGACATTTCTTCATGTATTTATTTGCCATTTGTATATCTTCATCTGAGAATTGTGTGTTCCTCTCTGATGCCTATTTTTAGAGAGGGTCTTTCAATTTGTGGGGGCTTGAGGTTTTTCAATTCTTTATATGTTCTGGACATATGTCCTTTGAGGGGTTGCTGACTAAAATTCTTTCCCATTCTGTGGTTTTTCTTTTCATTCTGTTGGTGATTTCTTTTAAAGTGTAGAAACTTTTCAATAACATGAGATCCTAGTTGTTGATTGTTTGAAATGTTTCCTGTGCAGTTTGTGTTTTGTTCATGAATTCTCTGCCAACACCTATGTGAGAGTTGCTACTTTTGAGGAAGGAATTACAGGGCACAGGGAGGTTACAGTCTGAAGTCCTTAGGTTTTCTTGCCTGAACACCAGGAAGTATATTTATTCAGCAGTCATAAACCTCTCTTTGACAGTATTTTCCTGGCTTAGAAGGAGTAAATCAAGATATACAGTATTTGAAAGTCTTGTTCATGCAGCCAATAACTTTTATTCCTAATAACTCTCCTCTCACAGCTGTAGGCTCTTTCTCTGTTCTGTTGTAGCTTGCCCTGGCCTGGACTTTTGACTCTTTAACACAGTGATTTCATTGGTGAATTAACTCTGGAACTGGTTTAGCAAACAGGTGACCCCATTTGAAAGAGCAACAGCAGGAAAAACCCACTAATACAGTAAAAAGACAGGAGCAGTCAGGAAATGCATTCCTGTAAACTCTCCTTTGGGCAAGAGGAAGCAAGAGGATCACAGAGAGCTCAATACCAGTCAGTGATAAATAGTGAATTCAAGAACAGTCTAAATTAAATAGCAAGATCCTACCTTGAAAAGAAAAATACAAGACAAGGAGCTTTGCAAAGCCAGGAGTAAACTTCTTAAATAGGTTAACATCCAGAGAGACAAATTGGTTGAGCAGTGTCTGGTTTACAATCTCCTATTGGAGTTGCACCCACCCTGGTAAGGAGTCACTGTGGTTGTCATTGTCAGCACAGAGGACGGGTCAGTAGAGTAGCAGCCAATCGCTGTATGAACTGTCCAATCAGGCGCTCCGCGGTAGGCGGGCTCCTTTTCTCCCGCTCCGAAACGTCGGCTCTCCGCTGAGGACAGAGAGCCGCTGGGCTGCCTGACTGCGGGTTTAGGAACTCTCCCGGTGGCAGCTTGCGTGGGAAGCACACGGGAAGATCCTCCAGCCACGCAATGGTGACGTTGTGGGATGGGTGCCCATAAACGGGACGCGGGCGTTGGGGTGAGGGCTGGGTGGAGGCGGGCGCAGCAGCAATGGCGGCCCGCAGCCTCGCGCCGCTCAGGAGAGGGCTCCTCTGCTCCGCAGCGCCTGGAGCGCCATCCAGGCCGCCCTCCTGGGGCGCGTTCCTTCCGTGCATCCCACACTCGGTCCTTCCCCAGCCACCCCACCGGCCTAGCGTGCGGCCAGGCAGCCGCAGCCCGTAGCTGCAGTTCCATTTGTGTGCCTAAGTGGGAACTATGGGAAGACCCTGATTGCGGTGGGGAGTCAGCATGGAGGATCGTGGTGTGCGGAATCTCTGAGCTGGTCGTCCCTCCAGCAGAACTGGAGGACCTCAGTTTTACAAATACCACTTTGCAGAGTCTTAGAGCCACGATTTAACTGCCCAGGCCAACGCTGCTCTGTAATGAAGAGTAAATGTCTAAAATTCGAATCTGTACCCATATTGCCAAACTTTGAGTGAGGAGACTTGAAAGAAAGGGTCGCCACTCCTGGAGGCGCCACGCCTGTGACCCTAGCATTTGGGAAGCCGAGGCCAGAGGTTCACTGGGAGTTGGAGATCAGCCTAAGCTACTTTGTGAGTTCAAGGCTAACCTGAACTACATAGTGAGAACCTGAGTCAAACAACAATAAAAATAGTAAGAAAGAAGGAATGATTGATTTAACCTTGCTGGCTGTGTGAGACATTGGAAGAGCGCTTGTCAAACATGTAGTGAACTCCCACGTTACATAAGCACCAATGCAAAAACAATTCTCATCTTAATGATTTAGGCGGCACCTGTCCTAAAAGAGAGAAGATCACTTAAGTGAAGCCTTCCCATAGAATTAGAATGCCCAGAGAAACGGAGGGGATGTTAATATGTTAGCAAAGGTAGTGGTACCATCTTCCTGGTAAGCACTAACTACTTCTAGAAGCATTGCCTGTTACACACAGAGTGGGCGTATCATTAAATTTAGACATTTGCATCGACATGGGATTAGGAGTAGAAAGGAGAGGGGTAGCAGCTCAGATATTTGCAATAGATTTTGGTAGACACTTTTTTATTAAAGAGAAAAACAATTTTAAAACAAGATAATTAGAGGGGTAACCATGGTTAATATAGTGCCTATTGTTATCTTTAGTCACTCATAGTACAAGATAACTGCATTTAATTGTCTAGATAATATTAGCACAAACCTTTCTTTGCAATGAATGAAGAGAAATTAGTAGCATAACTATCTTAACTATCATATACATGTATTTTTTTCCAGCTTCTCACACTAGGGAGATTACGATGTTTACATGTGTGAGTCTAATTGGTTTTACGTATGAGTATGATATCTAGTTACATCCATTTATCTATAAAAGCCTCAAGTTTATCCTTCTTTATGACTGAGCTCATTGTATAAAAATACCATATCTTTTTTTATCTGTGCCTCCTTTGAAGGATATTTAGTTTGTTTCCAAGATCTAGCTATTACAAATTGTGGAGCTATAAACATGGGTGGTATAATGTTTTTAATTCTTCTGGGAAGATACCCAGAAGGGAAATAGCTGGGTCAAATGCAACCTCCAATCCTAGTTTTTTGAGGAATTGCTGCACTGATTTCCAGAGTAGTTGCCCTAGTTTGCACTCCCACCAACAATGGAAATGGGTTCCTTTTCTCCAGCATTTGTCAATGGTTGATTTCTTGATAAAAGCCCTTCTTTCTCACTGAAGGTAGAATCGCAGTGTTTTAATTTGCTCCTCTTGAATGACCAGTGATGTTGAACATTTGTTTCATATATTTATTTGCTGCTTGTATTTCTTCATCTGAGAAATGTGTGTTCTGGGATGCCCATTTCTGGATTGGGTCTATAAATTTGGGAGGTCTGATTTTTTTTTTTTTTTCAAGTTCTTTATATCTTCTCCATAGTAATCATTTGTCTGAGGAACACCTGGCAAACATTTTTTCCTACACTGTGAGTTTTCCCTTTGTGGGTGGTTTCTCTTGCTGTGCAGTTAGTAAGGTGAGAACCCAGTTGTTGATTCTTTATGATAGTTCATGTGCAATCAGGGTTTTATTCATAAAGTCTTTTGCTGTAGACACTGTTTTAAGAATTGAGAGGCTGACTGAGGTGAACTTCTTGTTACAGGAATATTGTATTAGGAGTAAAACCTGAAATGTGAAGTTTGCAGTGTAGGGAGGAGCAAATGGGAGGAGAAAGAAATAGGAGAGGAGATGGTGAGTGTGATAAAATCCAGGATACAACAGATACGTCTTCTACCACTGATTAGGTAACTTAATCATTTTTAAAAAGTTTTTTGAGACAGGGTGCTTCTATATATTTCCAGCTGGCATTGAACTTACCATGTAGACCAAGTTTACCTCCAACTTGTGACAATCCTGTTGATTGTTTCCTGAGTATTGAGACTAGAGGTGTGTGTTGCACATTTGTCCCTCATTGCTTTGGAGGTAAAAATGGAAATTAGGAAATTGAGCTTATCTCATTTAAAACATTTGTAGGTATCATCTAAGTATGATTGATAGGAATTTCTCCAGGATACAACAGATTTTAGATGTGGTTGATGAATTTGGGACATTTTCTATGGAGTACACTCTCCACCTTTTGGTATTTTTAAAGTTTTGAGACCAGGTCACTATTAGGCCCAGGCTGCAGTAAACTTTTGGTCTTCTTTCAGCCTCCTGGATTGCTTACATGACAGGCATGTGCTACTATGCCTGGCTGATACTAGGGGTTCCTTAATCACCACTGTTACACAGTATTACTGTTCTTGATTAAATGAAGTATCAAGGAGGCATGGTGCTGCCCACATTTTACCTTGGCCACTTGGGACACTGAGGCACGATTACTGTACTAACAATAGGCTGGACAATGAAGCAAGACCGAGATTAACATAGAATAAAATCACTTGGGGCTGTGTCTCCAGTCTAAAATAACTTGTGTAACATATCCAGGGCCCTGAATTCAGTCCAGTACTGAAGCATTAAAAAAAAAAGTCATGTGTACCCAATGGAAAATTTACTTTGATTTGGAATTTATACTGTTTGCACACTAGAGGTCTGTGGTACAGTATTTGGTCAGGATGCTGGGCCACAGCAGTGAGAGGATGTCAGTGAGAGCAGTGTCCTGCTCTGCCAATGAGAGGATGCCATCCTGTGGTTTATAGTGTAGCAGTTCAGTAAACTATATCAAATATTTCATATTTGATTATGAAATAAGCTATGTTACATATATTTCCTCAAATATAAGTCAAAATAAATGTACCCTTGGTAACTCAAGCAGAATGCACGGGCTCATTCTTTTAACTCTGTAAAGGGCTTCTATGTAGAATATGAAACTTGTCAGGTTGTACCTTGTGTTGAGTGCTATATTGGTCAGGTTCTATAAAACAACTGAACTGGGATACTTTATGAGTAGTGTTTTGCTTTGTAAAGCAGCAGTGCTATGGTTTTTGTTTTTGATTTGGTTGTTTATTTACCCGTTTTAGTACTATGGAGAGGTCTACCACCTGGTCATACTGTCTAGCCTGTTCCATGAGGACCAGGGGCTAGGATAGAAATTGTCAGTGATCAGACTCAGGGCTGAGCAGTTTAACCACAAGGAACCAGTCACATACAATGTGAAAGAGAAAACACTTCCATTCTTAGTTCTGTTCTATGCTGATTGTGGGAACTACTCTTACTGCCTCAGTGTTGGAGCAAGTCTGTGGCTTTCTACTCTACTGTTTTCTGTTTTCCTATTGCCTCTTCTTTGCTTTAGTAACACGGAACTCATGTCTGCCTGGACATGACTCAGACTTGAAGCTCTTTTTCCTTTGCAGTGACTTACATCTCTCTAGGGATAGAGGTGACCATGAGCATTTGTTCTGTGTTCCGCATGTGACTGGAGTCTGCTGTCCCTGATAACTCCTCTAACTTCTGAACTCCCACACTCTGGAAACAACTCTCTCAAGTTGGCATGCTGTAGAATCCCATGGGAGAGGTCTCTGGAGAAGGGCACAGGGGACAAAGCTTCAGTTCACTCATGCCTTAGTCTGACTTCTACACCCTCAGTGTGTGTCATCATCACAGCACAGACCTTTTGTAGGTTTTTGCTCTAGTAGAATCTGAAAAGCAGTGAGGGAGGGAAGAGAGGAGGAGAAAAAGCACCTGGCATGGTGGCACATGCCTATAATCCTAGCACTCAGCAGCCTGAATCAAAAAGATTGCTATGTATTCAAGGTCAGCCTGAGCTACATAGTGAGACTCAGTTTCAAAAACAAAAACTAAAAATTGTTCACTTGCACCCTGAGATGTTTGTGTTACTCAGCTTGGTTCTGTAATGCAGAGTTAGAAAAATGTCACCATGTGCGATGTTTTTACCCTCTCACCTAGCAACTTATGTGTCCCTGACCCTGCTAAGTCAGAAGCTTTCAGCCACTGGTGAATCTATACTTAGAAAACCTGTGAATGTAACATAGCACCTCGTTTGCCATTTCCACAGTTATGGGAAAACAAGTGTTACAAGTTCTGTCAGTGATAAATATGCACTGGAAATACTCTTTTCTTGCTGCCCTAGAAACAGATGAGAGGCACCACTGGTGCTCAGGAACATGTTTGCTAGTGCAGAGAATATCTATTTAAAATCGAATACATGCCATGGTACCACCTCCAGGGGACAAAAGTTTCTATTTCTCTTCCCAGTAAACTCCAGAATGCTTTCAGATTTGATGAATTTTATTGACTTGAATTGATACTTCATGTTTTCTGTCTTTTATGCCTTCTTTTACCCCCTTCCTGTATAAGCACTTTTGTAATTTATATGCTTATATTTTTACATTTGTGTTTAATCTAATTTTTAAATAAACTATTTTCTTTTTGAGTTATCAGTCATTGAAAAGAAAAATACCTTGCATAATATTTTTTATTTTGAAGGGAGTAAAACGAAACAAAGCAGAACAGAGCAAAATAGTGAACAGTGAGAACAGTATTG